TTTTGAAATTTTAGGGTTGTCTCTCCAAAGAACCAAGCTACATTTTGGCTATTTAGCCTTTCTGTTGCGGGTTGCATACTTCCTGTGAAAAAAATAAGTTATTTTTTTACTTCAATTTGCCGGAAAAGCAGCTTGTGTTGGAAAGTTAATGTTCACAGCAAAAAGATAGGAAATTTAATCAGCTTTCAGAATCACTTAAAGTTTTTGTTTTTAGCTCCCATAGAAGTTGAGAAATTGACCAAAACGTGAACACCTTTTGAAAATGGCCAATTTTCCGGAAAATAACAAGTATGGAAAAATTACGTTGTTTTACTGTTCAAGATCTACCCCTCCAGTAATTTTCTTATTTTATTCTCGACGCGGTAATTTTTTTGGCCAATTTTGTAAATAAATAGAAAGTATATGAACGGTAAAAATTAGAAATAATTATAATTTTGATAAACCTTTTCCTAGAAAATATATTGGATTTTCTAATATACTAAAGTTTTCATTGTGCCAGTCAAAAACAAGGAGGTCGAAAACTTGTGAAGTTGAGCTTTCAGAATCCGCGGAGAAAATGAAAATTGGCCCATCCGTTTGCTTGTGGCGAGCTTATGAAAAGTATTTATTTGTTAGCTGATGATTAGAAAATTTCACAAATTAATTGTGTAAAATAATGAGCATATTCTCCATACCAAATTTTATCAAATTTGGGTGACTTTTTCTTTTTTTGTCAGGTTGGCAACGAGACAATCGCTAACAAACCCTTAATTCTCTCTGTTAAGAAACTCAGAACGAAGATAAATTAAGCGAGTTAAGTTAATGATTATTATGAATTGTGGAAAAAATGGAGAGATGGCACTCCTGAGGAGCCGGCGCTCCTGAGGAGCCGGCGCTCCTGAGGAGCCGGCGCTCCTGAGGAGCCGGCGCTCCTGAGGAGCCGGCGCTCCTGAGGAGCCGGCGCTCCTGAGGAGCCGGCGCTCCTGAGGAGCCGGCGCTCCTGAGGAGCCGGCGCTCCTGAGGAGCCGGCGCTCCTGCGGAGCCGGCGCTCCTGAGGAGCCGGCGCTCCTGAGGAGCCGGCGCTCCTGAGGAGCCGGCGCTCCTGCGGAGCCGGCGCTCCTGCGGAGCCGGCGCTCCTGCGGAGCCGGCGCTCCTGCGGAGCCGGCGCTCCTGAGGAGCCGGCGCTCCTGAGGAGCCGGCGCTCCTGAGGAGCCGGCGCTCCTGAGGAGCCGGCGCTCCTGAGGAGCCGGCGCTCCTGAGGAGCCGGCGCTCCTGAGGAGCCGGCGCTCCTGCGGAGTTGGCGCTCCTGTAAGAGCTGGCGCTCCTGTGAGAGAATTAATAATTTCTGCCGATATATTCTTACTCGATTTTTTATTTTAAGTCGATTAGAAACCAATTCTAAAGGATAAAATGTAAAGAAACAAAGTTATAAGCGAGAACAAAAAATCAATTTCCCTACGTTTGCTGCTGCATACCGACACCGGAGGGTTGGCAATAAAATATTTAATTCCTGGGTGTAATGTAATTAGATGTGATTTTTAAGAAAAAAATTACTTAAAAAATATTCATAGTCCCCTGATAATCGCTAACAACTCTATATTTTTGAGTCACAAAAAATCAAAATTTCAATTAAAACTCGGAAAATTAGGGTAAACAGAGCAACATAACTGGTCTGGATCGCGATTTCGCCCAATTCCAGGGCTCATCAGCAGACCTGAATGTTTCGACTGCACCTCCGCACTCACGAACTATTATTATTTTCAATCTCACGATCAATCTTCTGCGGCAGCTGTGTAGAGTGAGGGTAGGAGAGCGAAGGGTGCATTTTTATAGCCCGGCCCTTCCTTATCGCTACCTGAGAGGCGCGTTATACTCTCTACTTCCCCCACCCTGCATCTGCACCTCCACACTCTCAAACCGCGACTGCAAATCCACGGAAAAAACCTCTTAAAAAATTAACCCCTGAAACTGCTATACACTTTTACAACACAAACAAAACACTACTCTAAACTAATTTGAACAGAAAAAACACACGCACACTAACAATTATCTGAGAATTAAATTATTTGATTTGACTAAAATTAAAAAAAAAACCTACAGAATTAAACAATATAAAACTTTTAGATTATGTAACTTGTAACAATTTAAATATAACAATTTGTTAGTTGAAATAAAAGGGGAAAAATTATATCTGTCTCTACATTTTTGCCAAATTTTGGTAAATAAAATTATAAGCATAATATAATATCATTTATTATTTAAATTTATAACATTAAAAAATGTGTTTTAACTGAAGCAGCCACTATTAATGTTGTTGAAAGAAAAACTTCAAGAGTTTAACTAAAAAAATGCTTTTATTGTCTCTAAAGAATCTCTAGATTAAAAGAAACAATGTGGTGTAAAAAAGTTACAACCCACGAAAACATCTCGCTCCTTGTACTTTTGCGTGTTTGAGTAAAACTTCTTATTCCGTGCTCGCCGCAAATTAACCATTCGCGGTGCGTTGCTGCAAGCAAGTCGTTAAAAGTGGGCAATTTAGCGCCGGTCTAATTGCACAAAGCCAGCAACACCTGCTAAATTTTTGGAGACGAGAACAAATTGCAAAACGTCGGCGGAATTAATTTTGAGCGGCATCCGGGGCTTGTAAATTCTAATCCTTCTTCTTGGCCTAGGAGACACGCATGAAATTGTACACCCTTCCCAGCGGGGCTCTTCGTCATCCCTGGCGTCGGGGGGAAGTGACGCAAATCAGGGTCACATTTTACAGGCTTTGACGCCAACTTAAAATTCTTTGATGAATTCCAAATGATCCAGATTATAAGAGTTGCAATATTGTGTATTGATTTTTAAAGCGGTTTAAAGAATGAAAATTATTTCTTTTCGCGCCATCGCTTCTTTCAAATAAACGTTCACTTCTCAAAATTAAAAGTTATGAAGGCAGAAATACCACCTGCTTTCGACCTTCAGACCTTAATTTAGCACCCTGTAAAGAAGCGATGAGACACAAAAGAAGTTGATTTTATACTTGAATCATTAATATAACTTAAAAAGCTGAATAATTTCAAATCCATATCGCAGCATTTGAAGTTTTTGCCAAAACCCCGTAGAAGAATCTCCTTGTAACTTTTCCACTCAGCGATGAGTTGGCAAACAATGACAGATACTTGATATCGCAAGTCATGTTTATTTTATCATGCGCGTCTGTGGCTGAAAAGCCCGCAGGCCGTCTTCTCTTGTATATATTTGCCGAGAGACAGAAGAGACTTGGAATTAAATTCTTCCCGGCATATAATCCTGTTAGGTTGCGAATTCCGTCTGTATCTCATTTGCCACAATCCAATCAAAGCAAATACACCGCACTGCGAATAATCGAACCGATTCCGATCCATGCGTCAGGTTATGGCACGATTCGGTCTGCATTTCAAAGGGACTCGCCCCATTGCAGCAGGGATTAGCAAACAGTTGATCAAGACCCAACCAGAGGTTCGGTTCTCTTGAATTAATTTGAATAACTAAATCTGCATGTAGTGAATTGTTGATTGTACTGTATCAAACAACACGATTTCCTATAAAATCCTCTGCAAAAACGTGCCGCAGAAGAGCTTAAATTTATGAACCTCTTGATTATATAACTGGATAATAATGCGTTCTTTTTCACTTAGTTTATTAAAAAATTATTTATTAGAATTTGGATCAGACCGAAGAAAAATGAGAATTTTCAATTAAAATTTTGTTACAGGCAAAATGACATAATGTATTAGTAGAAATCAAATTTCATAAGTAGCTTTTATTTCAAATGAAAATTGTATAGCAATGGACATAACAAATATCACAATCTCAACAGAAAGTCATTTCATTAATGTAGTAGCTTTTGAATTCCTGAAAATTTAATATTCAAATAGAAAAACGGCCTTCAGCCATGTTTTCCTAGTGAAGCAGAAACGGCGAAACTTTGTAGAGGTTTTGTTGAATAAAATAACTCTCTCTCCGCTATATTTCTAATCAAACAAATGGAAATACCAATATTTGACAATATTCATTGCTTTGTGAATACGCCAAGAGCAATAGAAAAAACAGAATCATCAACATGCGAACGTTTCCTTCCTGGAAAATATCATTGATATCCGTACATATTAAGAATAAATATTTGGCATTCTCAAGTAAATCAATCTATTCCATTTAAATACTATTTGCTGAAACTTTTCTTGTCTCGAATGTTTTTTCATCATCTCTTGTTACCTTAATTTTGATATGGGTTTGACCTGCAGGTTCATTTCATTTGTGCCTTTTTAATTTCAATAATTTTTTTACAAGATTTCATTCAATCTCATGTCAGACAATGAAGCAAAAAAAAAGTAATTTCTTGTAAATTATTCTCATGTTTGGCTTATGTTTATATACAAAACTAATATTCATCTTAAAAATTAAATTATTGTGTGTTCTGTTAAAGCAATTAGTCCCTGGTCAGGTCTGAAAATGGTCCCTGCAGAGGTGCAACTTTCAATAATCCCCTTTGAGAGGCGAAACGACCGAGAGCGCAACATAATTAGATTGCCCGAAACAAAACAAGTCTTGGGGCGAGCGGAGAGCAGAAGGCAATTAAGGGTTTAAAAACAGCTCGGCGGGGTCAGAGTGCGGGGCATTAGGGGTGCGATTAACCCTGTGAGTGCAGTGTTGGCGAGAGAAATGAAAGCGGCGGCGGCGGCGAAATTGGCCGGCACTTTTGACGTCTGCATTTGCCGGCCGGCGCGTCTAATGGTCTGAGCGTCCAGCCGAAAGGACGTGCCCGGCTTTTTGAGCGGCCATTAGCCGCAGATACAAATGAAAATGTCGCCATCTGCATTCTAATTAAGTTGCTTTTCTTCCTCGCCCGGACGGTGGACAAATCAATGCTGCCAGTTTTCCGCCCGGCTCACGTTTTCATCTCGCTTCCTTTTTTTTTTTACTTTTGCTGCCGAGACCGCCGAGGCAATCTGTATTCGACCCGTGTTATTTGATTATTGTTATTGTGTTTGTTTCAGATTTTCCAGATGGTGATCCGGTAATCTCGTTGGAGCGGCAGACCTACCCCGTCGGCGAGATACTCAAGGCGAACTGCACTTCCTACAGAAATCACCCGTCTGTCAATATTACCTGGGCCATCAACGGACTGCCCGTGAGTCTCTCAATTCTCCCCCAATCGGGCCTCGTTTTTTTTTTACTCTTTTGATGGTAAAGAAAGTCAAACTCCGAAAATTTACCAACAGAAATTTTATTTCATTCTTCTCCGCACTGAAAATTAATTTTAATAGGAAGAGATACAGTAGCAAATGATTTAATTTCAATTACACTGAATAAACAGAAAACAGTTGCAAGCCATACAAAATTTAATTAATGTTTGAAAAATAATGTAAAAAAGTTAATGAATTTTACTATAATTAATATCCAATGATCTTTTTTTGAAAAAAGAAATTCAGAAACTGAGCTAAAAACCAATGCTTGGAAAACAAATTGAAATTACAAATTTAAACTTTTAATTCAAAATCCTAATTATTAGGAATTCTGTTTACAAAAAAATAGTGATCCTAAGTCGTGTTCATTGTGTTGCCGCTTGTCTTGAATTCTAAGTTGATTAATTTTTTTCAAAACAGAATTCCTAATTTGTTTAAAAAAAATTAAGATAACTGAAATATTAAAAGTTGAAATTTCAAGTCATTTTCCGAGCATTGTTTGTCACGCTCAGGTTCTGAATCCACCTTAAATTTCTTTTGGAAAATTAGAACGGAAACTGGATTCACGTAGAAACGCAAATAACAACTCGAGATGAAATATTAAAAAAAAGGAACACACAAAAGTTTCCACAATCCTTTTTATTTTAGTTATCAAAAGTAAATCACAATTTATTTAATTAAAAATATTGATTATTATAAAATTTAATAATATTTAATTAAAAATGCCTAATTTGAAACGAAATAATATCATTACATTTATTTATGATTAAAAATATGAGTTAAGTGGATTTAACTCAATCAAAAGTAACTCTCGTGCTTTAAAAACACAATTTAATAAGATAAAATAAAGTAAATTATGTAATTAATATAAAAACAAAAAGACAGATGGGCTCGGCCGGGATTTGAACCCGGGACCTCTCGCACCCTAAGCGAGAATCATACCCCTAGACCACCGAGCCGCGATATCTGAGCGCTTTTCCTCGAGGCTGCAGAATCCGCTGAATCGGCCTAATTCGTGACGTCACCGGTGCACAGTTAGGTACGCGCGCCTTTCACTCGCTCACGTGACACCGCGCGCTGCTTCTGATAAAATAATATTGTTATTTATCGTAATTCGATATTCTGCTTATTTTTTTTCTCATTGATCTGATACGAGAGTCTCTTGTTATCACAAACAACAGCCGGATCCAATGCCAACGCTTCACAAATAGCAGGTCAAACACTTGCGTCTTATCTTTCCTTTCAAGAAGCGAAAACAATATTCGGTGCAAAGCAGATACAAAAAAAAATATATATATTTGATTCAAATTCCTAATTCAAACTTAGAAACAAATTTTAAAATAAATTATAAAATTGGAAAAAATTTATCAATTAAATTTTTTAGTAACAAAAGAAAAAAAATAGTTAGTTGTATTTTTTTTTCTGGATGAAACAAAGTTTTTAGTGACTTGAAATTTTTTATTTATGAATGTGAAAGTTATAAAATAAAAAAATTGCACCCCATCCGGTTGTTAAATTTTGCATATTACATTGAGAAAAGCAAATAAGCAATTTCGCAATCTGACATTCAATCAATTAGCTAATGCAAGTCAACTTTTAGCGCAAACATAATTAACATTTCCAAAACTTTGCGTGATATTCAAATAAGACAAGGAAATTGACAGAATACAAAATGAGCTAATTAATTGCAAAATTCCCAAACAAAAACTCTGAGACTGTTGCAGAACAAGTTTGTTTTCCACTTTGTACACAAACACAGGCAGTTCCACGAATTTTTCCGTCCGATGAGCATTTTTAAATGAGAAAAAAGGAAAAATTCACGGTGGGCTGGTTCGTGGGACGCGCGCCTCAAAGGCCTTGGGCACAATCAAAAATTCTGATTTTATTGACTCTCTGTGTCGGTGCAGAGCCAGCAAGACAAATAAAGTAGCTCGTCGGTTGGCAAATAATTCGCGTGTTTATTTGTTTATCCGCAGATCGAATAAGCTTTTTGATTGGCTGGCCCAAAGAAGGCGAAATTCCTGCTCTTCGTAATTGGCCTTTCGAGTCTTTCAACAGTCGCTGCTTTTTGCTCATTCCGGTCCGAACGCAAATTATAAATGGCCCCCGGGTGCTGTTTACAAATGACCCTCGCCAACAGCAGATTCTCCCTCCGAGTAACTGAATTTAGAGCGGTTATGCAACACGCTCGCGCCGGCTGCCGCGCCGGTTGCATAAAACGCCCGCGTCCTTTCCCTATCCCGCTGCGAATACAAATGAGCAGTGCCAAGAGAGATGCACACGTTTTTCATCCGAGATTTTTTCAATCGTCTTCTCCTTCCGAGGGCATGAATGGGCGTTTTCCCCCCATCGATTTTGCAATAAATGGCAGAAAAAAGCATGATCAGGCTGTTCGCTTGAGGGGTTTCTGCTGCGACACCAAAGTTATTGGCGGGAGTAAAAAAATAGTGACAAATAAAAGTGTACAAAACAAAGGTCGTACATTCTCTTTATTTTTCCTTCTGTATCAAGTTTAACGAGGTAAACGTGATAAGCAACAATCTTGTTTTATAAAAACTATTATTCCTGTTGAAATATAAAGAGATAGTTTTGAATTATCTTTGGAAATAATTATTGTTTTTGTTCCTTCACTTTGCTACTGTTGGTTTAATTTCAAATAAAATCCCTCAAAATTATTCCAAAATATAATAATCAAAAATTTTATATCACATCAATATCCGATTTGAAGTTGGTCAGAAATATTAATTTTTTAAGCACCGTCTTTAAGGAAAATAATTTAAAATAATTTTCTTCGTCCAGAACTATTCCAATTTGTTAAAATTTTGACTAACTAGAATTCTGTCCATTTTAAAATTAATGGAATACTTTTCTAATAAATTTACCAGAAATTTTTTTGAATTAATTTTATTTTAAGATAAAACACACTGAACTGGAAATTATTTTGAATCCAACAGAAACCACTTTACACGATTTTAAATCGATATCCCAAATCCCTGCGGTCGCTCTTTGTTCGTTTGGGCGCCGAGTACTGGCGCCTCTGCGGCTAAACTTTGATTTATGGACTCGGTTGCTCATTCATTACACGCTTTTGGGTCCATAAATAAAGCAGCTCGTTTTTTAATATGCATTGCCATTCATCATTCGCTTATTAAATATCTGTCATTTTCAGGTGAAAGGCAAATACGTGAAAACCCTGCCGCGTGTGCTGGAAGATGGAAACCTGACGACCACAACTGAAACACTCAAGGTGAAAACCTAGTTTTAAAGAAGAACACACAAAAATTATCAATAAATTTATAAGAACAAATTGTCAGAGATTCATCTGCAATTTAGTTACAATTAATTTAAATTTATAAACAAATTTTTGTTTAATTCAAAAAAATTAATAATATAATTTTAACAATTTAAATAAATTATGCTTCAAATAAACAAAATTTGCTCCCAATTGAGAGCTTTTACAATAATTGAAGTAATTTAGCTTTTTTTCAAATAAATTTTTAAATTTAATTCCTCACACTTTTGTTTTTGTTGAACTTTTAATAATTAACTTTGAACGAGCCAAAAATTGTTTATGAAATAAATAAATGTATATAGAAGGTTCATTGCAGAAAAAGTGCGTTACATACTTTTTAGTGAAAAGTTTCTATTCCTTATTTCTCATCAGGCACAGGAAATGAGCGTCTGAGAGCTTCTTCTCCTCATATCTTTGAGAATTGCGTTTCTGATTTGCAGGCGGCCGTTTTGCCCGAGTCGTTTCGCAACGGAAAGATGAAGCTCGAGTGCACAGCCACCATGTACAACGTGTACAACCGCACGACAAAGGCCATCATCGAGGAGGAAAACCCGCGGGCCGCCCTTGTGCTCAGCACCACGCACGACTCGGCTTCCTCCACAGGTGAGCGATCGCATTGTTTTCCGATTCGATTCCAATGCACCCCTCGGGCTCTTCCAACCAAAACTCATTCATTTTCCGAACACTCTTAAAAAGGAAAATTGGTTTTTCTGTTAACATTTTCATAGAAAATGTGATGAAATCTTCGTATCACAATTTTACAATAAAGTTTTATAACTAAAAAAATAAACTAACACGAATTACTTTTAAGTTAATGACAGATCAAGACTGAAAATTTATGCTTTCTACTTTGCTTAAAATTTTCACTACTTTTCCTTTTAAATAATATGCTTACAAATCTCTCCAAGCGTTAATTTGTTTTAATAATGCTTTGAACTTATGATATGGTGGGGCCCCAATGGTGTATTGGAACGCGCTTGAAGTTTTAATTAACAACTTCCTTAAAAAAAGGAAATTTAGAATTTCATCAAATAATTTTTTTTTAATTTTAGGCTGTTGACATTTATTTTCGAATTTTTTTACTTTTCTGATCTTATGAAATCCTTGAAACGCGAAGATCAAAAATGCACTCGCCGTGAAAAAATCCGGGGGCTACTGTTTTTTTTATTCAATTGAACCGCCTTATTTTTTTTATTTTGGTGGGCGTATGTTATGGCGAATAAGGTCATTGAAATAAATTAATTTTTTTCTAAATTATCTCAAGTAAAATAATTGATACATGCATATTTTAAAAAAGAATAGAAGTGAGCGTTTCCGAGTGAATTTGAAGGGCGATTGGACGATTTTGGACTAGGCAGAACCTGTGTATTATTTTTATATATGTTTGAGAGGGTGCCCAGGGGGGTCCACACACAAATTTTCAGACCTCTAAAAAGGGGCGTTACCCAAAATTTCGGGACTTGAAAAATGGGCAAAAATTATTTTGGATTTGCTATAACTTTGGAACGGATAAAGTTATATTGACGTTCTCAACTGTTCCTGACGTAACTTTTTACGCTGAACAACTTTGCTGTTGACACCAAAGTTGTATTGTTAAGGGAAATGTCACTTTCAGGTGACCTCTGACCAAAATGTCAAATTTTGACAGGGAACGCCCCCTTCGATTTTTTTCCAGGTATAGGAAAAAATGTAGCCCATGAAATTTTACATCACATAAGTCAAAATTAGAACAAGGTTATTTTTTGTTTTCGAGTAATTAATCGTTGAATAAGAAAAAACGCGTCCGAGGATCGTCGAAAATTTAGAGGTAAATTAAAGAATTAACAGAAACATAACTAAATCAAGTCAGCAACGTTCCATTGTATCAGAAATATTCAAGTAAATCAAAAGCAACATACAGGACACGATTTTTGACAGTTTCCTTCGTTTTTTGAAATAACCTCAAAATTTTCGACCCTCCTCGGACGCGTTTTTTCTTATTCAACGATTAATTACTCGAAAACAAAAAATAACCTTGTTCTAATTTTGACTTATGTGATGTAAAATTTCATGGGCTACATTTTTTCCTATACCTGGAAAAAAATCGAAGGGGGCGTTCCCTGTCAAAATTTGACATTTTAGTCAGAGGTCACCTGAAAGTGACATTTCCCTTAACAATACAACTTTGGTGTCAACAGCAAAGTTGTTCAGCGTAAAAAGTTACGTCAGGAACAGTTGAGAACGTCAATATAACTTTATCCGTTCCAAAGTTATAGCAAATCCAAAATAATTTTTGCCCATTTTTCAAGTCCCGAAATTTTGGGTAACGCCCCTTTTTAGAGGTCTGAAAATTTGTGTGTGGACACCCCTGGGCACCCTCTCAAACATATATAAAAATCATACACAGGTTCTGCCTAGTCCAAAATCGTCCAATCGCCCTTCAAATTCACTCGGAAACGCTCAAGTATATTTAGAGGATGCTTCATTTGAGATTCTCACTCGGGCCCAGCCAATGAAGTGTCGCCAGTGAGGAGGGAATGAAAAATAAATGTATAAAAAAATTCCCATAGAGTTTTTATTTTTTGCGTAATGCTTTTGTTGTTTGTTATTCACTCGAAATAAACAATAGAGAGCTGCCAATTCGGCACCATCGCATATTGGGTGTGGACAAAGGGCCAATTTACCACGAGTGCGCGAGAAAAACAATTACCCAGCACTCGGAAAATAATCACGCGCGCCACTCTTTTTTTTCCGAGCGGCCGACAAAATAAATGGCGGCGAGTGTGTTTGCGTGGCCGCATTGTTTGCCATTAATTAACCGCGCACAGGGGGTCATTCGATTGGCCGCGCGGCCTGTCTTCCTGACTTTGACGGCCCGAAATATGAGAATCCTTTTGTGCGCGCGATCGACGTGATTGATTTTGGCGCGAATCAAACACGAGAATCTCTTTTCCATTGTTAATCAAGGGGGCGACAAAAGAGCCATCGATTGGTCGCCGCCGCCATTGTTCTCGCCGAATAATTCACACAGTGTTGTTTTCGCCCTTTTTCTCGCACCCTCGCTCACATTTGAGAGGGTGACCCTTGGCAGTCTGAAAAGAATTTCAAACATTTTCAATAGATTTTAGTCAAGAATATTATTTTTGAAAAAAAAAATATGAACAGAGATTTGTTCATTTTCGAGCTAATTGTATAAGTGCAAAAATTATGTAATGAGACATTTAATACCCCCAAATAAACATTTAATTTAAAAAGGTCAAATGAATTATATTGAAACTGGAATTTTCGATTAAATTAAAAAAGCTATTAATTAAATACTAAAATAAAACCAGAGTACTATTATTTCTTTCAAGTTTGAGGCTGAATTTTATTAATTTAAATAAAAGTAATTTATAATTTTCAAATATTCAATGTATTTTGATTACCGCGGAGATTGTTGGATTTTAATATTAATTTGAATTTTATTTTCGGTGTGATTGTGGCGACCCTTTTTGAGTTGAATCGGGCCAGCGCCTTCGAATGTACACTTGTTAACAACATTATGGCGTTCGTTTGGCGCTCGGCCCATTAGTTTTCTTTCGCGCGTTGGCCGCTCCCCAAAAACTGCTCACGCATTTGGTAATGAATGGAGCGCGAAAAAAGCCATTGGAAAAGTTGGCCGCTCGTATTTTTTACTTAATTTGTGTATAGTGGAATATTTATTGGCTCTCGCCGCGCCGGCAAAAAGCAGTTCGCTCCGTCATTGTCGCCAATTTAAAAAAGTGCCGCTAAAAAGCAGCTAACTTGGGCCGCAATTTATGAATGAGTGGCGACAGTGATGGCGCCACTAACACTTTGTTACTAAAATGAATTTATAGTTTTTCGCACCCTCGGCTCGAACATTTACCCAATTTTGCTCTGAAATTAATTTGCGAACTCGCGTGGAATTTCTCATTTCGAGATTAATTTCCGGCCGCGCTGAAAATGTGCTTTGTTTTTTGGAATAAAAGCGCAGGCTTTTGATTAAACGGTCCTGCAAGAGAGAAACGGGGTTATTATTACATCGAGAGGCGCCTTAGGTGTTTATTTCATGTTGGCTACAAAATTTGTTATTATGAAATGCAAATTTCTATTCCTAAAGGTCAAATTTCAGCAATGTGTATTTTGCTGAAAAGAATCCGTAGAACCATTTCAAACTGAAGAGAAATGTTTTAATTAATTATACAAAATAATTATGAAGAAATTATTTTATCTCTTTTCATTAAATTTTTTGAACCTAGTTGTTCTCAGTCGTTCTTTTTAAAATGATCAAAAAAATCATTGTCATGAAAACAAGCTGAAAAAAGTGTGTTAATTTAATTTTAATATTTCTCGTTAGGTTAATTTATTTTTGTTAAATAAAAAAAGAAATCATCTATGGAATTTCATTAATTATTATTCAACAAAATTGTCTTATTTTGATTTTTGTTGTAAATGAATGTACTTTTTTATCAAATGTTTGATAAATTAAAAAAGAAATTGCATCGCATTGAAACACATTGAAACTTGCTGCAAAAAGGTGAAAATGTTGCCAAATATTTGTGCAAATTTCTGCTCACATGTTAATTTCGCCTTCTCAAATTTCATTCCGCGTACCTCTTAAAACGAAATTAAATTTGCGAGTGCCGACGCCGACAGTCAGGAGCTCGCTCTAGTTGCGCGTTTATTGAGAATGAAGTCATATCGCGTTGCACGCTCCCTTTTCAACTCCATCCGCGAGATTTCGTTCTCCTCTTTTATGACAACGCGCCACTCACTATCAGGAGCAGAGGAGCTTGAATTCTTCCTCTACACTTAACAATGTTTGCAAATTTCCTGTTGAGAACGAGGCGCAAGCAACGCATTTCGCCGGGCAGGTGCGTTTTTATCTCCGCGCAACCAACGAACCACTTTTTGCTCCCTTGTTCGATCGCGCTTCGTTTTCCAAAGTGTGCGCGTTCGCAACAATATATTCCGTTTTGAATTCAATTTTTCCATGTTTATCTTCAACGTTTCCTCCCTTTCAAATGTATTATACAAAAGTGTGTTTTCAAAGTTGCGGCGGAAAGTCACTTAATTTTTAGCCGATTCATACAAATTTTATATTTTCAAAGGGAAATGTTGGCGGAAACGTTGCCCCGAATTCATCACTTTTTTATTAAAGAGGAAAGACTTCAGGATGTTCCCCAGACTCAATTTATTCCGTTTCAAATCATGCCAGATTTATTTATAGTCCTTTTGGAGTGAGGAGAAGTAATAAATTTCAAGTGTTCTTATTACATCCTGTTTTAAGGTATTTTATAAATTTGTCTTAAATCGTCAACAATCAAATTTATTTCTTATAAGTCCCAAAAATAGTCATTTTCGGTCATTTTAACAGGCTTTGAGAGTCAAATATTTTGAAGCACACATATTTTGAAAAACTAATTTGGAAAAAAGTGCATTATGAAAAAAAAATCAATGCATTTTCACCAATTTCGCAACAGTTTTTTTTCTGCTGAAGTCGCCAAATTAATTAAGTAAAATCTATTTTAAAGCAATAATAAACTTTTTCTTCGAATGTTGCAGGTCTGAAGGGTTCTTGCGGCGCGTTGGTGGTTGTCGTGCTGGTGGCGCAGCTGTTGCTGGCCCTCTCGAGATAGCAAGCACGGCCTCAGCCGTAAGAATTCCGACGGAAGCGAGTTGGAAGCGGTGTCGAAATTTTCTAGCTCGGGACGCAGAGTAAAAGAGCGCGGGCCGTCGTCTCAAAGGAAGCAGGCGCGCACCCTTAGCAGCGAATTAAGGCAGTGCGCGTCTCAATCAATCGACTCTAGCAGTGCGTAAGTGAGCCACCCCCGCCAGCCCCCTCGAGCAGACACAGAGACTCTATTTGGACATTCAATTCGATATATCTCGCTGTTCGATTCGTGTAAAACTTGCTGTGCCAGCTGCGATGCGACCGACGAGTGCGTTCGTCGGTGAGATTGAATTTTTTTGCAAAAAAAAAAAAACAATAATTAATGTTGAGAACTCAGGATTTTGTGAGATTTTCAACTGGAAAGTCATGTTTGTTAAAAATTCATTTTTGAAGTAATTAATTAATAATTAAATGTTTATAAGTTTTAAGTAGAAATCTTGCACATTTTAGAAGGTTCTTTTAGCAAAATGAGCGGCTTTTTATTTTATTGTAGTAAATTTAATGGTTTTTGAGGATTTATTTATAAGTCAAGATAAGAAAGCTTTAAATTAAGTTTTAATTTTTCAGTTATTTTCCAAAATAATGATTTTTTCGCCATTCAATTAAAATTTAAATTAAATTTGGGTAAAATCATAGAAAACTTCTAAATATAAAAAAATTAAAATTTTCTGAAAAAATTTAGCATTTTTGGCAAATTTTTTCGTTTTATTTGTTGTTTTCCTTGATTTAATTATTTAGGGCGTCGCAATGCTTTTGAATCCACTAAAATATGCAAGAAATAAATTGGCCCAAGAAAGGCGTGCAAAACTTTTGAATTTTTATATATTCAGAACTGAATTGAAGGAAGATTGACTCTTTCGAATCGTTTTCGACTTTCTAGTTTACGAAACGTTTCAAATCGTCATCAAATTCTGCATCTTACTTCCTGAATTGTAAATATATAATGCTGTAAAAAACTCAAGTGATCGGAAATGCACACTATCGGACGAACTTAATTGTTGTTGAACAAAAAAAGGAATCAATGTAAAAAGCTACCTGGGGGTATAATTGCTGTGTACACCCCTTAATAACACACATATGCAGACAGGCGTACGTGTGTATAGGCGTTAACTATGCTGATATCAGACAATGTGTGTGGATAATTTGTATGCCCTCTCTGTATATATTTGTACAATAAGCGTTGCGTTATTATTAAACCAGCAGCGCGCGCGATCCGTGTACAAAAGAGCTAGACGAGGGTGAGAATATTGTGTATAAATTTATTATATCAAGCTGCGAAAATTACACACATGAGAGAGGACGTTAAATGTGAGAGAAACTAACTAACGCGCGCAGCTCAAAACTATGCTGATGCTGGGGGCTGCGTCATTATTATTATTATTACTGAAATAACTGTTGGAAATGTGAGAAAGAATTTACTAATTAATTAATATTGGTTTATTGAAAGGAAGTCTGTCCATTTCCGAGCGCGATTCGAAAGCCTTCGGAACAAAATTACATTAAATTCGAAATATTTTACCAAAATTTAGCTTTTGAATTTCTCTTATTTTGGAAGAGACAAAGGTTATGAACTGTTCAATCAAATTTTTCCATCCTTGTCTTGAAAAAAGTCACGAAGAATCCTTTTTAAGTCCTAATATTTTAATTAATATGTAAAAATCACCTAAAAATTTAAAAATTCGGATTGTTTTTTACTCCAACCATCATCAGATCTCGCTCGGAATTGCTCTTTTCCAGTTAATATTTGTTGTTTTTTTGCCTCGTAGCAGACATAAATATTTTAAACGCTGTTGAAACTCCTGCTGAATTTTTATTAACTGTGTGTATAATTCATCATAATATATTCATGTAGAACAAGTTATAAGAAGATGGAACTGAATGGTGCTCTGCTGTTTTAGACAATTAGGAAGGCTGCATGCGAAAATCCAAGCTCAAAATTTTTATTGATTTCCTTTCATTTGGCGCCGAGCTATTTTTGTATATTTTAAAATTATATTCACGGGTATGAATGCGAATAAAATTCATTTCAATAGAAGAAAAGCGACTTTCCTCTTCCAGAATAAAACCGAAGCCCTTGACATTTCTTTCGGATAAACAAACTTTGTTGCGCAAAGCAAAGAGCCACTCTTTCTGCCAATACATTATTCTCTCTCAAGAAGAAACATTTTTTTTGCTCTTCCTTTTGGAGAAGCTGCAGCGTTCAAAAAACAAAAATTTACGACCGTCTTGGAACGCTCTCTTTTTATCCCTTTTACGCAATATTATTTCATTCGCTGGCAGAAAGAAAGGCGCGACGGATATTATATCTAAAATCGGGGAATTTTTTTCTAAAGAAGGAGATAAAAATTTATAGCCGCTAATGGAGTGAGAAAAAAATCGCCGAGCTCTTTGAATAATAAGAAAGGGACATTATCTGGTGATAAGAGATGGAAGATAAGGAGTGGGAGGGCGGCCGTGTTGACCGAATGTACGTCGGAGGCGCTCGCAGAGAAGAAAACATTTTATCCTCGCAGACGGGCTTCCGATCGACACAGCTCTCGACTGCAGACGCTGACTTCAGCAATCTGTTCTTTGGTGAGTGCGGAATTATTCCCCATACATCTCCACCCTTCCTTTCAAAGCCTTTGTTCGAACCGTTTTGATCTTTTTTCGAACGCAGACGTTCTCTTTTGAGTTTCGATTTGAAATTCGGTTTTGTTGCTAAGAGAGAAAATGAATTAATTTTTTTGCGAAAGAGAGAAGCTCGCGTGCGTGCGTCATTGCAAAACCAGTTTTTTTCTCACCCGTTCAAAGAACTTGTGTACTTTTGCATGAATATAATTCCGCTGTCAAAATGAATAGCCTTGTGTGTCGATCAAAACATGCTCCCACTGCGTACATGCTGATTATCACGTTTCTCTCCAATTTTCACACTCGCCACAAAAACCAGAGCTCGTTTATATTATCTTTAACACGCAGACTCTAAATAAATAAATTTCACTGCATATTTTGTAAAATTATACAAAAAATTGGAAAAAAGTATTCAAAAATTAATTTTTTCGGGTATTTATTTATAAATATTTTTGGTCAAGCGTTTTTCAAAAATCAAAATGATAATTTGAAAGTCAATTAACGTTTAATTAGGATTTCATCCAGTTGATTTAAGACAAAAATGAACCATTTGAACAATTTTAATGAAAAATATGTCACTTTGAAACACAATTTCAAACCTATCCCTCATAACTCAGTAAAAAACACCAATGAAAAGCCATTAGAATCACTGCTGTGATTTTTGTAACGGGTTTTTCAAGTTTTAGGAATTTTTCTAATATAAATAATTCAGTTTTGAAACACAAATCAACAAAATATGAGCGATATATTGAAATTTTTTATCACTTCAAGATAACAATTGTCTTTCTTTCTTCTTTTTGTACTTTGATATACGTGCCATTGCATATATATTATATTTTGAAATTAAATAACTTTTCAGACGAAAATGCGCCTTTCCGTGATTCTGTTGGTGGCGTGTGCGGTGCTGGTGCCGACGCTGAACGGCGAGTTGGCGCCGCAGGAGTGTCCGAGCGCGTGCTCTTGTCACTACTACCGCGTCCACTGGGTCGCCTCCTGCTCGCATCGCGCACTTTCGGACGTGCCTTCGGGCCTCGCCCCGACCACCTACATGCTCGAGCTCAACGGGAACGCGCTGACCGACTTTTTTGTCGACCCGGAGGTCAAACTCCGCCGCATTGTGCTGACCAACAACAATCTGAAAACACTTACCAAGCGAAATTTCAAGGTGAGATTTTTTTTAAATTATTATTTTACCTTTTTTGCAAAACAATTGAGTCAGATAAAATTAGTAAAAGCATCAAAAAAGCAAAACAAATTTACAGAGTTTTCGACAATTCATCATTAATGTTTTCTTAAAATTTCATAAAAAATAAAATAATAATAATAATGAATGAATTATTTATTTATTAAAAATAATAATAATTAATAATCATTTATTAAATTTCCAATTAATTCAGGGTCTTGGTCTTCTGATTGATGTGGAAGTCTCAGGAAACCAGTTAACCAGCATCAGTCCTGACACTTTCCAAGGAAGCCCTGGTTTGATCACCTTCGAAGCCAGGCGCAATAAAGACCTCACTGGCCCTACCGATGACTCGCCCTTCCTCGAGTCCCGCTCCTTGCAGACACTCGACCTTTGTGATAGTGGAATTTCGATCATCGGATCAAACTTCTTCAGCAAGACTCCCTCCCTACGCAAGATCATCCTCTCCGGCAACCCTCTTCGCACCATCCGCCCAGGCGCCTTTGCCGGCCTCCAAGGACTCGACGAGCTGCACCTGGCCAACACCCTGATTTCGCACGTTGCCCCTGCAGACTTTGCACCTGACCCGCCCCTGCGTGTCCTGAACCTCAACCAAAACCGTTTGAATGCAGACAAGCTGAAGACTTTGGTGTCTAAATTGGTGCATTTGGAGAAACTGGACATCAGCCGCTGTGGCCTTACCCTGAAAGCTTCCCACGTTGGCACCTTTGCCCACTGCAACTGGCTCCATACCCTTGACACGGCCTTCAACGACCTGAGTGGCCTCGACCTGACCAGGGCCCTGGGCAAACTCAACCACTTGGAACACCTGGATTTGACAAGCTGTAACCTGAATGAGAAATCCTTCAAGAGTGACGTGCTTTCCAACCTGACGAGGTTGCGAACCCTGAAGGTGTCTGACAATACCCTTGGGTTGATCAACATGACCTCGGTGCTTCAGCCGCTGTCCAAATTACACCACCTTTCAGTCGGGAATTGCCAACTCAGATCCACCAAGTTCCTGCGAGAGTTGCCAAAAGTCAGGCAATCCCTGCGCTCTCTTGACCTGTCCAGAAACCCTTTGGGTGACCAAGAGGTCAACACGGCCGGCACCATTTTTAACCAGCTGGAGTCTTTGGACGTTTCTTACTGCGGCCTGACCACTATTACCAAAGATGCCTTTTCACCAGCTAAGAATCTGATCACTTTGGCCATTTCTGGCAACAAAGTGCAAATCGAGAGTGGTGCCCTGAGCGACCTGACGCGTCTGGAGAAACTCTACATGCGAGAGTGCAACCAGAGAGGTGCTCCACCTGCGGACGTTTTCCCACCTGAGTCAAAACTCATTGAACTCTACCTGTCAGGAAACCCACTAGATCTTGATCAAAATCAGGTTGTGCCGCAGCACCTGAAGAACCTGCAGGTGCTGGACGTGTCTGAGTGCTACCTGAGGAAGATCACGGCCAGCTCTTTAGTTGGAGCCCAAAACTTGGTCAAGCTAGAGGCCAGTGGGAACATTTTGAGCTCTTTGGATGACGCCCTGCCTGATTTGGGCACTCTGGCTCCGAAGCTGGAGATTCTGGACCTGAGGAATTCCAGGGTGCGCAGAATCACCCCCGAGGCAGTGGACGGATGCAGCAGGTTGCAGGCCGTGTACCTGGAGGAAAACCCTCTGCAGTGCGACTGCTACATGGCCAGACTGTGGCAGTGGGCCATCTCAAAGGGCGTCGCCCTCCACGAGAGGCGGGGCAGTGCCCTGCTGAGGTGCCAGGGTCAAGCGGAACTCTGGCCCAAGCCTTTGGACTCGCTTATCTGCTAATAGTGTGACGTCAGTAGTGTTGAGTGTGTGTGTGTGTGTGTGATTTTCCATTTCGCGCGCGACGAGAGAGTGATGCGCTTGATGTAAATATAATTGACCCATTTATCATCGCGGCGAATCGGCCCCTGTAGCAGCTTTGACGCGTGACCGCAGACTTTGGTCCAGCGATCCTCACTGAAGTGCTGAATTTTTTGTAATAATAAGCTTTAGAGATCCCAATGATGAATTTTGACTTTGGTGTAAAAATGATCGCCAAATTTGTACACTGAAAGTGTGAAATAACAAAAAAAAATTAAATAAATTGTTTTTATATTTTTGTTAATTTCTTATTTTAATTATTGATGGGCAGAAGTTGCCCAGAGGAAAACCAATAAACTTAATTTACAACTTAATTTAATGAATTTTAAATAACTGTGAACATTTAAACTTGAATTATTAGTTTAGAGTTATTTCTGCAGTTTTTCTAGTGTAAATCGGCATAAATTTCCACGGCATGGCTGATTATTTAGGCGGAAGTTGCGCGATTGCCTCTGGCTGGCGCACGCACGTAGATTTCACATTGTTCGTCCTGTTGGCCACAGCGTCGCCCTAGCTTCGACTGATTAATTGTTAAGTACGAATATTATTTGTAACGGAGGGCCATGGAAAAATTCAAATTGATCAACACATTTCTGACGATGAATTTAATTTTCGTAAGATTGTTTTTCAATTTACTAAAAGATTTAAAAAAATTGTAAAATGTCACAATTGTAGTTGCACGTCGGCGAATCGTCTGCCGGCGAGGTCAATCTCTTGGAGAATGTTTCAGAGAGCGGCTTGAAGCAGGCGGCGGGCGACACGTTCGTTTACGTGGACGAGTCGTTGAAAAATAAAGCGGGCCAACAGAAAAAGAAAAAGCCGGCAAAGGCCAGGAGGGTGGTTGGCGTCGCCGTCGTCAGAGGTTAAATTAATTAATTTGCTCTTTGTTGGAGATTATTTATGTGAAGATGATTTGGCGCAGAAAACAACAGAGGGCCGGTCAATAGGGTCGTGTTTCGCAGGCCCAATTCGAACCTGCAATCGGCCCGGAACAAAAGGCTGCGCAACGGCGGAGCCAAAGGCAGGGCCAGAAAGAAGAAACCCAACAAAAAATCCACTGTGAAAGTTGACAAAATCCCTAATGCAGTAGTGGACTGTGAGCTTTTCAATAACAGCAAAAATTTAGAATTAAAAAAATTATATTTTCATTCTGCAGTTCCAACAACAATGGGGAATGAATTTAGCGAACCGACTCAGCCGAATTACAATAATTACGACTATCAATATGAGGAATCGAATTATGGAGAAATATCGAGTCTCAATTTTTTTTTTTATAAAAAAAATTGCTCACTATAGTTATTTAATTGAATCTCAGCTCGGAGGCGGAGAACGAAATGGACTGCTTGGCAGCAAACCTGGACATCGCCCATGACTGAAGCTCCACCTTTGAGCACTTCTTCAGGGTCGATAGCAAGACCGACGACGACCCCAGGGGCTTTTGTCACCGTCACCCGTCCAGCAGTCGAACCGCAGCCTTTGACGCTTTGCTCAAATGCCTCTCTTAATGTATAAAAAAAAAACTAATTCAATTTGCAGTTATTTTCAAGCAAGTTCAATAGGAAGCGGTCATTTGCTGCAATTTGCGAATCCCACAAATTTTTGATTACACCGATTTTGAGGATTGTTATGCAAATTCTTCGTCACCTAAAGCTGAGGAAATCGACACCTTCATGGTTTATCAGGGGCTTGACAGCGCCACTAAAAAGCTGAATTTCAATTTAAAATGTATATTTAAAAGAAAAATTAATATAATTAATATATATTTCAAATTATGCTCAGGGTTTCAAGATATGCGGGAGGCAATGGTATAAAATAATTATTATTTTTATACTAACGCTGATTTTATTAATTTTTGGTTAGTGCGTTACTCACTGCATGTTTTCGGACAAAAAAGTAATGCAAACCTGATCAACATTTATTTTCAAACAATTCAAAATATGCTTAATTTTTTTTCCATTTAATAGTTTATCGATCAAGATCCGACTAAAATAGAGTATACAGAGATCGACACCTACTTTGAACAAAACTTGGACGATTCAAATGGGACGGAATGGTTGTCCACGCTGCAAGAAGCCGAATATACTTGCAGAGATGCTCTAACGCGTAGTATTGAAGCTTGATATTTTAAATTAGATGCAATTTTTTTGTCTGAAAAAGAAAAACTAGCAGCCGAAATGCCGGATTTTTTCGAAACGGACGACTCGACGTGCTTCACCAGACCGTACTTGTATGTTCAGTGCATCAGAAGGGAACTTTTATACGTCAGTTTATATATCTAAACATTCAATTTAAAAATTAAAATATAAGTGAATTTAACAAAAATTGCAGAACTGTCCACAAGCGTCCGATAAGTCGAAAAGTATAAAAAACTTGCTATAATAATGTTGATTTTTCATTATAAAAAATTTTCAGCTGACTATTGTATAAAGATGATTGATAACATCGCCGAATGTAACCCTTTTTAAATAAAGATTTACGATAAAAATGATCCACGTGTCATTGAAAAAATTACAACTGGAACTAAATTTCTCATCTAAATGAGATTTTATTCCAGCTCGAAAGAAATCAAAGATACTTCGCTTGTTGCTTCTGCGAAATATCGAGAGTTAGAAATTTTTTTTAAATAAATTGATTTAAATGTAAAAGAAAGTTTCATTCCAAAAAACACACTTATGAGGGAAATCCTTGCCCTAGTTAATCGCATTATTCATTTTAGATTTTGTGATTTGTGCAAAGTCCTCGCTCCAATATTTTCAGTGTCACCTTCAGAAGAAGCAAACAGGATGAGCGTCAGGGCACTGCCCTTGGCGGCTGACGCAGCTGGCATCCTCTCTGCTCTGCACCATTTTTAATTTCGAAATATATAGATTGGCTGCTCCACTTTTTCCTCTACGATGAGCAAAATCGGATTATTTTTTTTCATATTTCTTCAGCTGGTGAGCTTAATTTACTAAAAGAAAATTTGAAATAATTTCAATTTGCTTTCAAAAGTCGTTTGCTGCCAAAAAACGAACAACCATAGGCATAGGGAAGCGCATGTACAACGGCCAAGACACCTTGGAGGCGAACCGAATCGCCCGAGCCCAGGAAAACATGGACCAGCAGCAGCAGCAGCCCGCGGACAACTCGGCGAAAATATTTCAACTGTACAGTGTTTTGGCAGGGGTCATACGATCGTGACCATATTTGAGACCCATAAAGACCATGTCAAGAGGTTTTCAAAAATATATAGTTTTACCCCATTATCTCAAAATTTATGGGTTTTACGGGACGTTCAAATTTGGATTTTGGAAAATTTCAAAAGGCTGTATCTCGGCTTCCCGTTGACGTAGAACAAAAATCCGGGTATGGTTGAATTTGTCTCATTGCCCTCTACAACTTTGCTGTTGGAAGCAAAATCGTATGTCAAAGTTCAAGGTCACTTCTGCTGACCTCGTGACCTTTGACCTCACAATTGAAGGTTATCCCCCAATTTTATTTCAATTCTGAGATAGCCATTTTGTAGAACGTGAAATTTTACGCTATATAAGAAAATAAACCAGATGGCATTTTTTGTTAAAAAATTAATAAATAAATTAAAAGAGCAAAAAACGTGGTTTTCCGAGCATTTTTGCTGGGTAAATATGTTTGAACCACCGTAACTTTTTTTCTGGGCAAGATAGCCCCACATACCTAATGACAAAAAGTAATTGCCTTGACACGGCCCATCTAATGATGTATCACACGTGGTGGTCAGATCACAAAAGGTCATTGACCCCGGTGACCTTTGACCTTCCCATAATTTTTTCGTCATGTGTGGCACATGATTCGAAAGAGAACATTAAGAGGGTCATTTTGGTGCCCAGAAATCTGTTGTAGCTTTCAGAGAAGCAGAGTTATCCTAGAATTACGTTTATTTACAATTCGATTTCGATCACTTTTTATTACAAAAACAGTAATAATTTTACTTCTGCTCAAGCTACAACAGATTTCTGGGCACCAAAATGACCCTCTTAATGTTCTCTTTCGAATCATGTGCCACACATGACGAAAAAATTATGGGAAGGTCAAAGGTCACCGGGGTCAATGACCTTTTGTGACCTGACCACCACGTGTGATACATCATTAGATGGGCCGTGTCAAGGCAATTACTTTTTGTCATTAGGTATGTGGGGCTATCTTGCCCAGAAAAAAAGTTACGGTGGTTCAAACATATTTACCCAGCAAAAATGCTCGGAAAACCACGTTTTTTGCTCTTTTAATTTATTTATTAATTTTTTAACAAAAAACGCCATCTGGTTTATTTTCTTATATAGCGTAAAATTTCACGTTCTACAAAATGGCTATCTCAGAATTGAAATAAAATTGGGGGATAACCTTCAATTGTGAGGTCAAAGGTCACGAGGTCAGCAGAAGTGACCTTGAACTTTGACATACGATTTTGCTTCCAACAGCAAAGTTGTAGAGAGCAATGAGACAAATTCAACCATACCCGGATTTTTGTTCTACGTCAACGGGAAGCCGAGATACAGCCTTTTGAAATTTTCCAAAATCTAAATTTGAACGTCCCGTAAAACCCATAAATTTTGAGATAATGGGGTAAAACTATATATTTTTGAAAACCTCTTGACATGGTCTTTATGGGTCTCAAATATGGTCACGATCGTATGACCCCTGCCAAAACACTGTACAGTTGAAATATTTTCGCCGAACTACAATTACGAGTATTATTATGACAACCCTGAGAACCAAACCGACGGCGAGACGACGATCAACGACGCCGTCCTTTTCAACCGGCGCCAGTTCGAGAGCAGCCCCGTGCTCGTGGCGACCCCTCCGACCCCCGCGGCCACTCCGACCGTGGCCACCTCGGCCAAGCCCAAGAAAAAGAAGAAGAAAAAGAAGCCGGGGGCGCGAGGGCCCAACAGGAGGAAGGGGTTGCCCGCGCTGCAGCAGGCCGGCCCAGGCTTCAGGCAGAGGAGCCCTTTGAACCCTCCGCTGAAGGTCGCGTTCGCACAAATACGCCTGCCCATTCACCGTCCCGGATTGAAGAGGAGGAGGAAGAACAACAACGACCAGCAGGTCAAAAACGGAACCGTCGTCAACGCCAACCAAACCAATCCCGCAGGTGAGACTCTTGAGAAAACAAAAATCACTGAGAAATATTAAAAATTAAATGGAATTTTCGCCCAAAATTGTAAAAATATAGTTTTTCATTTTTAAAAGTTTATAAAATCATTTTTAATATGATTATTTTTTGCTAGTTCCTGGTCCAGGGAAAAAGAAGAAGGGGAAGAAAAATAACAACCAGAGAAACCGGAATAGAAACCGAAACAGGAAAAATGGTAAAAACAAGAAGCGCGGCACCAAAAAGCCTCCAACACCTCCACCAGGTATTTCTTTGAATAATAAACATTTTTTGCATTTAAAACTGTCATAATTTTGCTAGTGAATAATTCTCAATTGGAGTACGAAAGACCGCCGTTCATGGTCAGCAGGTACCCTACGAACAACTCTCCAAATCCACCCTTCACCCCTGGACCGACCACAAATGGCACCCAGGACGATTATTACTACGAGTATTATCAGGACCCTCCACAAGGTGAGGCAATCAAAATTCTCAGCCTAGAATATTTTTAAAATTTTACTTGGCAACTGCGATTTAATAATAAGATTGATTAAAAAAAATAAGAACTAAAATTCAAGGTTAACATTTCAATAAGGGTTGCTTTTATTCCCTTACAAAATAAATAAAATACAAATTTGAAGAGGTAGTTTTTATATTTAAAGTTCATGGATGTCAGTTTCAAAACTTCTTTAATCAAATGGCAATTATTAATATTGCTGTTTACTTATTAGACTTTTGAAATACCTTTTTTTTATTGGAGAAAGATAACATTATTTGAAATATTGTTGTACCTGCACACGTTTATTGATTTATTCAGGTCTAGTTGCTCTGGACTGAGTGAATAATTTGGTCATCTTTATAACTCTTGCTGAGGGTTTTAGCTCGTTACACATAACTATAAATATTATTAATAGTATAAAATTTTGTATAAAAATTTAGTCCTATTATTATTCATATTTTCTGAACTATATTAATTAAATCAAAAAATTAATAATAATTAAGGCGGAGGAAATGGCGGAGACATTAATGGAGACCGATTCGGCCCAAGCCCTAATAATGGTGGCAATGGAAACAACAATGATCGAACCCCATTCGGGAACAACAATGATCGACCCCCATTCGGAAACAACAATGATCGACCCCCATTCGGAAACAACAATGGAAACGGGCCTCCTCCTCCAGGAATGCCCTCAATGCCCTGGGGTGGAACTCCCTCAATGGGAGGACCCGGAGGAATGTCCAGCCTGATGGGGAACCGAATGCCCACAACAATGTCGATGACCCGCACCGGCAGCGGCGTTGAAAGCGAATCGCTCAACTCTTGCCAGACCCAAAATTTCAACGCACGTTTACTTGAAATAAATTATGACAAAACCAAGTAAATTTTCAATTCGCAGGACGCTTCATATTGTTGTGCTTTGGAGCATCCAACTCTGTTCGACTCGAATGACATGGACGAGTGTCTGAACGACCTCAACCCTGACGAGGAACCGCCAGCAATCGACGAATACTCGGTCAACAAGGGTTTGATTGGAAAGGGCGTCATTGACTTCCAATCTGCAAGTATAAATTAAAATGAAATAAAAAATATGAAAATTAAAAATCTTTTCAAATTTTTCACAGGTATGAAGAACTTGTCAGATGCAATCGTACAAAATGTTAATACTCTCTTATTGAAAAATACAATTTTTTTACATTTGCAGTGCTTGACTCACTGCACGATGATTTCTTTGCAGTTTGTAAGTATGCGCAGAGTATGCAACCTGCTCATCACTCGCGGTGTGCAGGTTGCATAGCTTTTATCCGATTTTTCATTCATCTCTATTAAAATTGTAATTTAAAATAAGGAAAATTAATTTAAAGCAATATGAATTAATTTCAAAAAAAAAGTTCGCCAACAAAATTTGTAAATGTTTGAAAATTTAGCTAAGTGAGGACCCAAATAGTTTACAATATGACGAAGTCCGCGCTTACATGGACAGCAATCTGAATGACAACAATGAGACAGCATGGAGACCGTTATTAAACGAGGTGTCCAAGACCTGTCAAAAAGCTGTCAAAGGTTCGCTCATTTGTACCGAAATATTATAATCCAACATTATTTTCCCCAGCAATGAACCAAGTACAAGACAGAATTGAAACTTCAGATTACACCTGCTTCACAAAACCGTACTTATACGTCCAGTGCATCCTACACTACATTCTTTTTGTATGATTTGCATTTTTAATTATAATTCTATTAAATAATTCATTCTAAATATTCTTAGAAATGTCCAACACCATCTGACAGAGCGTCAAGTATTGATTTCAGTCATTTTGATTACCATTTGATTTATATTAAAATTTTAACAGGTGATTTTTGCAAGACATCCATATCAAGCTTGGGCCAGGAATGCAATCCTTTTGATGATAATTGATATATAAAAATTTAAAAAAAACCTCTACTTGGCAAATTGAAAACTATGTCATGTACATACAAATTTCTATATAATTAAAATAAGGAATTTTTTATACAAAAATTTCCTGCTTCATTTATAGACACAAAGTTTAAGCTTTATTGAATGAATTAGGACTTTAGTTACAGTACATAAAAGACAAAGCTTACAATTCTGATAAATTTAAGTCATGGATATTTTGAAAATGCGCATAAAATTAATCCCCAGTCCAGATGATGGCCTTTTTTCCTCTGTCCACGCTGGCCAAAAAGCCGCCGTACGTGTGCCAAGCAATCGAAGTCACAGCCCCACTGAAATTAAGAATTTTTTAATAAAAATTATAGCAATAAATTACAAATGAAAACCTGTGCTCCTTTTGGCTGCTCTCGCAAGCAATGCGCCCAGTCCGAGCGTTCCAAACAAAAACTCCCCCGTCTGCCCCTCCAACCCCTACCAATTCATCATTGGGACTGAACATGGCTCTGGTCCAGTCACACCCGACCTTAAAGTTGTCGCAACTGAAATTTCAAAATTAGTTTAAAAATTATTAATTTTTGGCTGATAACAAAAACGGACCTGAAGGAGCGAACTTCTTGCTTCATTCGGAGGTCGAACATTCTCAGGGTGTCGTCCCTCACACAGGCCAGGAGATAATTTCCATCTGAATTCAATTAATTATAGTTTGGAGGATAAATTTGGAATTGAAAAAGAAACCTTTTGACAAATCCAAAGAGGTGATTTTGCCCTGCAGGACGAGTTCGTTGGCCGCGGTGCCGGCGCTGCTGGTGGTGCCCTCACTGCGCGCGTCCCAAAAGCGGATTTTCTTGTCAAAGTGGCCACTGATGAAGGTGAACGTCTCGGAGGTCACCACGTCGTTGCAACTGGAGCCAGCGAACTTGGTCTCGATACCTTAATATGAAATCAGAGATTTGAATGAGCGAGCCAGAAAGATGGAGTTTGAACAAGTTTCATGAATGAGGCACAGAGGCCGCTGAATTTACCTTAAATCGTCCTCTCTATTAATAATTGGAAGCTCTTCTAATATAATTCATGTCTTATATTTATTTAAATTTATAACAATTCGAAAATCAACACGATGTAAAATAATGTTGTTTTTAAATAAATTTTTGTATGAAAATCTAAAAGCTTTATAACAAGCTTTAACAATTATTTTCCGTTTAATGTCTAATATAATTTTTTTTAAAGAGAGCTTGAAACTTTTAAATAATGTATATTTTTGAATACTTACAAGCTCTAGATCTGAGGTCCCACACTTTGAGAGTGCGGTCGTAGCTGCCGGTGACGACTCGCGCCGACTGTCCGAGGAATTTAGCCGCCAGGACCTTTCCCGAGTGTCCGGTCAAGGTGTGCTGAAAAACAAGCGATTAAATATTGAAACTAATGTAAATTATGTGATTAAAATGATTTTTTCCATCTTTTAAAATTTCATGATTTTCTGAATAATTCATTTGGGCTATCAAAAAAGAAACTTTGAAACTAAGTTGGAATCTCAATTTGGCACTTAACAATCGATTGTCTCGATCTGACAGGCCTGAAATTTATTTCCAGCCTGTCCGATCGGCCGACCGGAATGTTTAATGCATGAGCTTTTATGAAAGACAAGGAATTTGTTTTACTTGGCCGAATGTGACTGTGCGAAAAATGGTCGTGTAGCACCAGCCAAGCATTGCCTTTTATTTCGGTTTATTTGAGACTTGTGTGTGTCATAATATAAAACATTTACACACTCGAATAAAAAAGGAAAAAGGTTTTGTTGCTCTGATTTTGCGAGACCACCGCTGCGGCACCGCGCGTCTCTAAAATGCACCGGCCTGACAAGAAAAAGTCTAAATATAGGAAAGAGACAAAAGCACGTGAAAAATTTGACAAATTTATGCTTCTGGAAATTAGTGAATTAAAAAATATCCGCTAAAAGATTTGAAAATTAATAAAAGAAAATAAAATTGTGCTCAAAAATTGTACAATATTCAATTAAATGAAAACAGAACTAAATTTACTCTATGCAGTGATGAAATTTTAAATTTTCTATAAGAAATTTTGAGAATTATAAATGAACATAAATCTGTGGATTTAAATAATAAATTATTATTCAATAGAATTTTAATTAGTGAAAATTTTAAATAAAATTAAAATATAATTTAAATATTAAGCAGAAAGCTTTATTTTTGTAATTTTTTAAATTTACTACTTTAATTACAACATTTTTAATTATTATATATTAAAAATATTATTCCACTTGGTTCGATTGGAAAGATGAGAGGCCCGAATTGAAGACGGTTCTGGCCAGAATACAATGGCAGCGTTTGTTGTTTGTTTTTGGCGAGCGGTGAAATTAGTGATATGACAATATCTGCGCGCAATAAAAAGCTTTAACGGGACCGAGCGAGCGAGCGTCTGTCCGTCCGTCCGTCCGTCCGTCGGTGAGCACGTTCATCAATTAAGTGGACGCGGCGGCTAATTGCTCTCTTCTAGTAATCCCAGCACTAGGCAATTAAGTTCGTTCCCACGTGACGATTCGCGCGCAGCACTTCCTTTAATTACGACAAGAAAAATGAGGATTTGCGCGCAAGTCGGTTTTTTTTCTCCGGCCGAGCGATTTCCAGATATTCTTGGTTTATGGGCAGCTAATTATATGTGTCACTGTGCTGGCGGTAAAACGATCGCGGCAGTAAAATTTGTGATTTACGCAAAGAGCGAGAGATGGGAGATCGCTATGAGCCTTTATTGCAGCCAGCATAATATTAGAATCGGAGCCAACAAAACGGAAAAATTCACCGTACAAATGGCAATCATAAATTTTAAGGACTAAATTTTGGGAGTCTGTTATTTCTAAATTCCACACGACACTTATTTATTTTATTAGGATTATCCACAACATATTTCCAACTGAAATGAATGCTTAACCTAAATAAAGATTTTCATTGGTTATTAAATTTTTAATTTTTGTTTAACTAAATCCGTGAAAATTAAATAGACATTTCTTTAAAAAAAAAATCAAAGATATTTGCTAGAACTTTGGATAGAGCCAAATTTTAAGTATTAAATTAGAGGAAAAATTATATAATTGTCCAATATAAGGAATATTTTTGAAGAAAATAACTTTGGTTTAAAAATAAGAGACATTAAGACATGCAATTTGGCTTCTACATTTTTTTCTTAGAGTCTGCAATGTAGTTTTTATTCTATTATTTGTTTTAATGACTTTTATGCAACACAAATTATTATTCTGGACATTAACGAATGCGCCTCTGGCAAAAGCCCAGTAAGCAAATTAAGCGATTTTTACAGTAAACAAAATTATAAACTGTGATTGCTATAAAACGCCGAATTTTTGTAGCTAACGATCCGCGACCGTCATCTCGGAGACTGCACGCATTATTAATAAAATACACACACACAAACACACAAGCAAGAGTTGTTTGCACTTCAGCATGACTATTGAAAAAAGCACTCGGTACCGTAAGCAGATTATCATAATTACTGGCGGCGCGCGGGTATCAAAACATGTCAGCACAATGACGGAAAAAAACGCAAATATCATTTCCGAGCCATCGAATTCGACGCGCGCAATAACAATGCAGCGATCAAATGAAAAATGAGATAGCAATCAATGTAATTATTCAAATTGAGATCTGCGAAGCTATTTGCATTTTTTCCTTTTGTTGCTTGACTGCTTGAAAAAATTGGTTGCGAGATTTATCGTTCTAATTAAATTTAAAATTAATTATTACATTGAAGGCGGTTATAGATTGGAAATTGGGATAAAAATTTTCGTAATTAATAAAAAAATAAATCTCTAAAACAAGAAATGGAAAATGAGTATAATTTTAATAAATCCAGATTATTAATAAAATTAATTATTTTAAATTTACACCACTTTACATAAGAAAAAGCGACACTAGCGCCAATTTTGTGAATTAAAATTCTTCAAATCTATATCTGATGGAAAAAATGAAAATTTCTTTAAAAAAATAATGGATAGAAATAAATTTGAAAGACTAATATAAATATTACCATTTTAAATATTTAATTGTGAAAAACTTTTAATTTGAATTGTAATTTTTACTGAAAAGTATTAAAAATTAAACATGTATTATATAAAATTTTAACTTTCAGGTGGACTTTTTGACACTTTTTTTGCTCAGTCTGTGTCGCCGGCGAGGGCAAGTAAGTTCGAGTCCGCCCACACGGCGGGTCACTTACACCGAGAAGGAAATGAATTTCAAAGAAAAAAAAAATGCTCACACGCCAGGAGTAATAAGAGACATATGCGTCTGGCCCGCGCGCGCGCGATAATTTATGCAGGCGACGTGTATAAAGTAGATGCCTGCATGTCTAATGCATAAAAACACACTTGTTTGCGTCGCACGAGTGCGTTACTTTATTCTCGTTGCTTTTAATTAGACCGATCTCTGCATGCACCAAGTTCCATTTCGCAGCGTCTGCAGTGAATTCAACACAGGCAAGGATCACTTTAATTGGAATTGGTCTGCCCGCAAATTAAACTGCATAAAATCAAAATGGTTAAATAAAAATCAAATTAAAATTTAAAAGTAATGATATGAATTTTTTAAATAATTAAATCAACATCAACGAGGAGCTTATAATATTTACAAAGAAATTAAAACATCTCAACATTTTCGCACGAGATCAATGTAAATGTTTTATGTCGACTGACCCATTGATTTTATTTTTTCATCTTACTTGGTGCGATATGAAGTAATTTCGTGAAATTGTTAGCAATTTTGGTCTGGCAAATTCAGAGAAAATAATTATTTGGAAAAAAATTGATTAATTTCAAAAAATTATTTCTTCCATTTTAAATTTTTCTTTCAAACTGACATAAAAAAAAATCAAAGCTAATCTACAGAAAAAAATTACGATTAATCAGTTTTTTTTTTATCAAAAGTCTCTCCTTACAAGCACTGACAAGTTTAAATTAATTAATGGAATATAGCTAAATTTATTTTGAAATCGAAGGAAAATAATTTATTTGTTCTAATTTATTAATTGAACTGTTTAATTAGCAATATTATTATTTTTAATTTCATTGCTGATTATCTTCATTACTATATGAATAACTAAATTTTAATTATTAAAGTTTTGTGTATCGGAAATAATTATAAAAAAAAATTAGCTTGATAATCTACATAATTACTTTCAATAGTTTTTCCTTCTTTTTGTTCTCATATTTTTAAGTCCAAGGTTGCAGATCTTTATAATTAATGAACAAAAAAGGAAGAATATAATAAACTTGGTAATGATCTGATAGAATTTCAAAAAGAAAAATAATGGCCGATTGTTCTTGATTGGGGATTTGCATTTTATTGCTCGAAGAAAATAACAACAATACGGAAGAACATCGCACACGTTTACTGCATTTGGAAGCGATTCAATTAGCCACTCTAGGTACGCGGCGCACTTTTTCCTCTTTTTTTCCCAATGGAATTTAATATTTAATTGGTCTAGCCGCGGCAGTAAAAGAAGCGAGCGATATTACTCTGCGAGTGCATGGCCGGTCAGCACCGTTAGAAATGTGTTTGTGGCGTGCAACTGCATTGAAGCTTTTGCATTACATTCTCCGCTTGACCAGCGCGATTCCTAGAGCGGCCGTTTTATTGCCCGGTGATTTATTCGCCGAGATAAATAACAGTCGAGTGCGAACAAACAGACAGGGGCGTGTGTTTTATCGGAGGGAACGGCCGGCCGGCCGCTCGTAACAAAGTGAATTATTAAATCGCGTCCATTATTGTGGAATTAAGTTCTCACCTCCGTCGCCCATTTTTTCCACTCCCCGCTGAGCTGTGTAATTACAAGTGCAACTCGTCACCGTCAAACTAGGCTCTGCACTCGGCGGAGCAATAATTATTATTATTGTTTGCTAAGATTTATTCATTTCAATTAATCAACCTGATCAGGCGAGCTTAATTTATGATTTTCAATTAATTACAGTATTTGTCGAAAGAAAAAATTATTGATGTAAATAATTCTTTAATATGGTTCTTTGACTTTTTATCACTGGTGGGGCCCATTTTAAAATCTCACCCCTAAAACATTTTTCAAATATTATATCATTGCTTTATTTTAATACAACTTTTTGCAATGCATATTATAAATGTTAAGTTTTTGAATGTCCCCTTGGCAAAAGCACTGAAAAAGTTATGATTTATGATCTCCTTTAAATACTGAAATTTGCAAGTTTATAACCAAAATCTAATCTTTCTTCTGATTCACCATTACAAATGTTATCTATTTTCAGCATTTTTTGAAAAATTTAAAGTCAAAAAAGTTCTTCTCGTTGAGAATTTTGAAATAAAGAAATTCTACCTCATCGGAAATTGAAAATTTT